AAAAACCAATGATCCTCCTATCACCCCAAAACCCCAAAACCCCGAGCTCTAATGTAATAATAAAGTTTGGGATCATAAAATAAATATAAACACAGTTAAACTTTCTGCTTTCCATTTTAGTATTATCCAATATTTATTTTAGAAAATGAAATTTATATTATTTGACAAAAGTTTTTCTTGAAGCAATGTTCAGCAATTCATTATTGAATCTGAATATTTCTTGTTCTATACAATCTAGAGACCACAAGTCCTTAGTTTATCAATAACTTTCCTAGGATCTTCAAAAGTTTCATTAGATCGGAAAACATACGAAATCGCTTTTTATTTGATTTCATCAAATTCCTGCCATTCCAATTCTTTAATGTTTAACTTATCACTTAATAGAAAATCTTTCTTTTTTTAATTGCAAACGTAAGGCTCGAAGTTAAATTTGAAAACAGGGAAATCCATTTGTTGTAGATTGCTTGTTTATTATTATTTTACAATCAGAAATGAAGCTTGCTTAGTGTTTTCATTCTCAGATATAGATTGCTTTTACTTTTGATGAATACTGTGCTTCTTCATGACATGATTGGCAAGTTAGTACTTCCTATAATATTTTGCCTTGCAATGATCACAACTATAAGCTCTAAAAACGATAAGCACTAATATATTACCTAAGCTGCTCATGCCTTTTTATATGATCTCGCATATTAGCTTTATTCTTAAAGTTTTTTCCGCATTTGTCGCATTCAAATGGGGTTTCACCGCTATGAACTCTTAAATGAACTTGCAAATTTCCTTTCTTTGCAAATGGTCTTTAGCAGATTTGACATGAAAATCTATGGAGATTATAATGTCTCTTAATAACATGTCTTTTGTAATTCTTTGGACTAGTTAGAATTTTATTGCAAATTTCGCAAGGAAATGATTGTTTTTTCTTTTTATCAGAGACTGGAGAGGATTAGTTAGTGGATGTATCAACTGAGCTATCGATGGTGGCTGAAAGCTGATCAAAAACTTTTTCAAAACTCATAGAGACTTAATAATTACAATACAATAATTTAATGAAAGGTAAATAATTTTGATGAATGCATTAATTTTGATGAAAATTACTTCTGCTTATTTTTTGGCTAATGGGGTTTTGGGGTTTTGGGGTTTTGGGGTTTTGGGGTTTTGGGGTTTTGG